TAGGAGAGAAATGTCATTGTAATATTTTATCCCAGCAAGACCTTTGGCAAGATTTCTTATGATAGATATGATGGAGTGATACGGGATGAGTGCTAAAACACATATTCTGAACTATTTGAAGGATAGACCCAAACAACATCTTTAATATCAATCTATATGTTAATCCAGAGAGAAAGCCCCAGTCAAGTTACACAGGATGTGGTCCTTGGCCTTACTCTTTTTGATATTTTTATCAATGAAGATGAAAGTGTGTTTTATCAAATTTATAGATGACATGAAGCTGGCATTGATAATAGATGGTAGAACTTGGATCCAAATGAGATCTCTCTTGGCCAAAACATTGTTCCAAATCTAGTAGGATAGAACTTAATAGGCATAAATACAAGGCTTTCACTCGAGATTAAAAAAAACAACAACAAAAAACACCTGAAAAAACACAGAATGAAGGATGTGTGCATAAAATGTCACACTTACTCAAAGATCTACCTGTCCACTCTTGCACTCAGGAAAGCCTATTATAGCACCACTTACCCCACTGGCAAGACCCTAGGGGCCTCATAACAGCAGTTTGCAAACCCACCCACATGCTGCAGCAGAGCCCTCTTCAGCTACCCTCCAGGTCCTGTCTAAGTGTTACTTCTCCCATTAGAATATAAGATCCTTGAGGGCAGACACTGTTGTGCTCATAGTTGTGGCTCCAGCACTTAGGACAGTGCCTGGCACATAGTAAGCACTTAAAAATTATCTATCTGTCTGTCTATCTATCTATCTATCTATCTCTCTATCTCTCTATCTATACATGTGAAAGGCATTCTATAAGCTGAAGCTAAAGCAAATGATTCTTCACTATTACTTTTTATTCTATGTCACAAAAACTGTTCTAGAACAAACAAAAGCAACCCAAAGTTTTCCATGAAAGCATTGGGTAAAATTATAGTACAGTGGGCCACAACGAAGATGATTTCTTTTCATATAGACTGACCCAACAAATGTGAATGGTTGGCATGTCAGCTCTTTGAGGATAAATCAAGGTATTTTACTTCTGCCATTTTATCCTTAGAACTTAGCATTATTTCTTGGCACGTAAGAAGCATTTTGCTTGATTATTTTGAGTGACTCCCATCAGTCAAAGTAGTCTGTCTGGGAAGACCCAGCCTGAATAGGAAGAACTGAACCCCAAGGAATTCTAGCTTTTCTAGTTTCTTCTCCCAATCACCACTGGCTCTAGGAAGCAGCACTTTACTCTGTCAAGGTGGGTTCTGTGAGAGGCTGAGATTTAGCACCATTTGAGATATCAGTCAAATGACCATCTCTAGTTAGCTTTTGTCACATCATTCCTCTGCATTAATCACTACTTGCCCACCATGTAAGGAAGACCTCTTAGGACCTTGACCCCACCCCCTTAAATCTATCACCTTTCACTGTCTTGTAGATTTTTTTTTCAATTCAACAAGTATTTGTTGAGTGGTTGTTATATGTAAGGCATTATTATTCCTCCTGCTAGGTATACAAAGACAAAAAATCCTCATAGGGCTTACATTCTACTGAAACGATATGACCTTATTATTTTTTTTTTTTTGCTTTTTTTGGTGAAGCAATCAGGATTAAGTGACTTGCCCAGGGTCACACAGCTAGTAAGTGTCAAGTGTCTGGGGCCGGATTTGAACTCAGGTTCTCCTGACTCCAAGGCAACAGCTCTATCCACTGTACCACCTCGCTACCCCTATGACCTTATTATATGTAGCACACATGCTTTCTGGCATCCAATATGGCTTCTGTTCTTTATTTCAACTTCTTTTTTTGGGAGGGATCACTGACTCAGAAATAATGTATTCAATTATCAAAATAGCAGTCTCTCATTCACTTTTAGATTTCCTTCCCTTTTTATGTTACATATTTAAGTCAATGATTTGTACCCAACATTATAAAGAGTTTTGAGTATCCCTTCTAGCCTCCCTAACTTCTAACAGAACTCCCCAAATCCATGTGGTTTATGATTATTTTAACTTCAAAATGAAGTAAAATTGATTCTATTCCAATTATGTTGTGATAGTATTTAAGATAAAGGAACACACCAAAGCAACAAGAATTGATATTCCTCTTAGGTTATTGAACATCCTTGTCCTACTTCCTGCTCCCATCATTTTCCATCAGTCATAGGCATGGACAGGGTGTGTGCCTAATGTGCTAGCACACCCTGGAGAGGCATTCCCTTTAGTTCTTCAGTGAAGGAAAGGAGATGGAGCAATAGGAATATTTCTCTAGGGAGAACTAGCTCACCTAATCCACATTTTATGGAGCCTGGAGTCATAACATATTCTGGTATTTATGGGAATTTAGCTTACATATCACTGGAATTAAGATAACTTATTAGTACATGGGCCATTATTCTAGGACCTTTGACCCATTTGAGAATTAATAACATGGAATCAAATCTTTTTTTTTTTTGACACCTACTGGATGAAAGGCACTGACCTGAGTGCTATTCTAGTTTGAAGACAAATTCAGAATCCTCAAAATGTTTTCTTCTTATTCACACACAATCATCAGGCTGTGTCTATAGGACACACTCAAATAAACACATTGCATCACACTTCCTTTGTGAAGAAAACATCCTAGTAAGCTTTCTGGGTACTCAAATTGATCAGTTAGATGAGGTTGAGCTAACTATCTGAACTAATTCAGTTGGAACATTTACTCAAGTTAACTTGGGAGTCCAATTCATCAGAGAAATGTTCACAGGTATTTTTGGCGTAGCTTAGTGGAAAGAAAATTTCAGTAAGGCGAAAAAGTTCTAGTCCTCACTTTCTAGCTCTGTACCTTTGTGAGTTTACCTCCTTCAAATTAAATTTTCTTGCCTGCAAAATGAAGATACCATAATAACATCAGTAATAGTTGACATGTGTATCTATATACATTGCTGAAGCTTGCACATTGTCTTATATACATTATCTTATTTGATTTTTTACAAAAAAAATCCATGAGGTATGTAATAACAACAATAATAATGCCAGCTAATGTTTATATATCATCTTAAGGTTTACAAAATGTTTTACATACATTATCTCATTTAGTCTTCATAACAAGTATGTCCTTGAGAACAGGAAGTGCTTGTTGTCTTTCTTTATATCTTCAGTGCTTGATACAGTGCCTGGCACACAGTAGGCACTTAATCAATATTTATGGACTGAAGGAGGTAGATGCTATTATTGTCCCAATTTTATCTATTAGGAAACTGAGGCAGAGAAGGCTAAGTGACTTGTCCAATGTTGCACATCTGATAATTTGAATTTAGGTTTTCCTGAGTCTAAGTCCAGGGCTTTAACCACCACACCAAGCTGTTTCTCATTATGGGCAGGTTTATGCCCATATTTCAGGAAACTTACAAAGATTAGGTGACTTGCCCATGGTCACAGTTAGTAAATATAAATGTTGGAATTCTATCCTAGGTCTCATCTACAAGTTTGGAATTCTTTTGGCTACATCATAATGCATACTTTACCTGTCAAAAGGGAAGGGGATGGGCCAGATGATCTCTAGACTTCAAACTTTAAGAACTGATTCTTAAGATACGGTCACAATGTAACATAGTTTTTTACCATATAAACCTTAAATATGGAGCAGCATAACACTATGTTCTATAACTTTAGAGAATGGTTTTGTGACTCTTGCCAGTGAGGTGTGTATGCGTGGGTTTGTATAAATACACCCCTACAGGTAAGAGGGGTTGGTACCTCTATCTTTGAACCAGGCTGTACAAAGTGCCTGTGTTTTGGTCCTCTTCCAGAATAATAAATCATTTTGTCTTTGAATCATGGGATCATAGATTTTGAGCTAGAAGGGATCTTAGAGCTCCTTCATTTTACAGAGGAGGAAACTGAGCCTCAGAGAGGTTAATTTACTTGTCCATGGTCAGACAGTGAGTAAATATGAGAGGCAACATTAAAACCCACATCTTCTTAAATCTCACACTTTAACACATATATATCATATATTTGATCCAAAAAAGAACCAACCCATAGTTTCTAGAGAGCTTTATCTTTTGTAATTGATTAGGTTTATAGAATTCTTTTCACAAAAGAAACATGACGAAGTAGATATGTAATAGCTCAAACCATTTAATTTACTTGTCTATGATGATTTTTCTAATGTGTTCCCTTGAGAAAATTCTCCTTACTCATGAGTCCATAGTAGTTTGAATAAGATAGAGACCATCTGAATCTCTGTTTTAGACCAAAATATCACACATTCCTTTTTCTAGCTGACGTGGTAGCTGGTGGTAACATGTATTCTTTCATTAGTTACACATTAATGTTCACTTCCCTTCTGCAAGATCGTGAAGGGATATTACCTCTCCATTCAAGAAATCCTCTAATTTAGGAAATTAGTGTAGGCTCCCAAAACCATAATGGGGAAAATGCAAACATTTATTTTTATTTGCAAATGCAGTTTTCTGCCAATAGTAGGTGCTCATAAAACCTCTTAAGCTTCAACAATGTTCTGTAAACTCAATGAATAGTTTTTTAAAAAATCTAGTGATAAGAAAATTACAGAAAAACTATTACACTGTTGAAAATGTTTTGAATTCAAAATTTACTATCTTATGCAAAGTTTATTAGCTGTTATTCTGGTTATTAAAAAGATTTTTTTAAACATCTATATATTCCTGTTTCAATTAAAATAATTTTTCACTTGAAACTCAAGGCCTGTAATTTTCTAGTATTTATGCTTTGGATTTTAAAATCTCACATACTTATTACATAAATATGTGTTTATGTGCATAAACTCATGCTTTTTGCTGATTTTTATAAAATGAGATTTTAATCCTATATACCACAGAGAACCTTCTTCTGCTTGCAAAAACAAAAATACCTCAGGGAAATCCAAACAAGAACAGGAAATCTTATACTTAATTCTTTTTTCTTTAAATCTAACTATATAATTATATAATATGAATATGAATATAATTAGAAATCTATTAATACAAAAACTCCTTAATGATACCTACAGAAACCAGAGATAGTTTGTTTTTGGTTTTTTTTGGAAATCTAAATTCATATTTGCAGTGGTACTTGAAGTAATTAAGAAAGCTTCTGGTTGTTCTATTTGGAAAAGAATGGCTTCTGTCTGATATATAATTCAAAGGAACTAATAATGATGATACAAAACTTCCAAAGTTTAAAGGCACACCCTACAAAGGCCTACAGTTAACACGCAATGTATCCAGCAGGCAACACAAAATTTACTGTAGCAGTCATTCAATTATCAACATTCAAGAAGATCTAGACAGCAACACAACTCTTCTATGTCAGAAACACATTATAACTTGAAAACAGGAAAAGTCAGATTGTAATTGGGAAAATGCCCCCTGTGGTAAGTTGACACTTAAGAGTCATTTTGGACTTCTATCATGTGAAGAATCATTTCAGACTTCCATCCATATAAACAACAGAGATATAGAGATTAATACTGTGGTACAAGGTCGACACAGACTGAACGGAGGGATCTGCCTTATTGCTGGGGCAGGGTGTGTAGAGGAGAGTCACTCCTCATATCCTGGAAGAATGAACATGATGTCCTCAAATAAAGGACTGGCTCCCAAGAAGTAGCTTTTACTGGGATGATAGGTTTCCATTTTTTCCCATTGGAAAAACATAAAATGTGTGCTATTATACTCACTTCCACCCACCTTTCTCTTTGACATACAACACTTACAAAAATAAGGATACTCTACTAAAGCAGAAGGTGATATTTTTCCCCTCAGAATTCTAAGATTCTAAAGAACTCTCTATTCTCTGAGAGGGATAAAAACATAGGAAAGACTGTGTTCAAACTCCTGCTAAGTTACACATAATACTTCACTTAATACAATGGCTACTTGACATCAAATCAATTATCCAAAATGTAATACAGACAATTATAAATTCATGGCAAAATATGTTACACTGCTGCAATTCAGAAAAAAACCAGTGTTTTTTATCTTTTTGTTCCAAAAATAGCAATGAAGGGTAGTCTTCCTCTTGGAGCAAACTCCTGTGGCTGTGTGTACTTCCGCATGGTTTTCATGCTCTCTCCCAAATCACTTGGGAGAAATCCTCCTTCGGATCTCTAACCATGGGGCCCAAAATTTAGCAGTGGGTATGGCTACTCTCATGAGTAGCACTGGCAGGTGCACCTGCCAGTTTCAAGAATGGATGTTCGATGGGTTTTTCTGCTGATGCTCTCTGGGAGGGTTCTCTTACCAACATCAAATGTAGGAAATCCTGAAGCACTGACAAAACCTGTAATGTCACACAGACATCATGAATAAAAAAAATGTAAATCATCACTCAACAACAACTCACTTTTACAAAATCCTTCTTAGTTAAAAACAAAAAATCCATTGCCTACTTTATCTAAAGTGATTCAGACAACTACCTTGTGAGGAAGGTAATCAATTGATTACTATCTCCATTTTATGAATAAAGACACTAAGGCTGAGAGGGGATAAGTCACCAGACTACATCACTAGTAATTTCCAGAGCCAGGATTCTAACCTAGTACTTTCTACTATCTCTAAGATTAGTTTTTCTTTCCCTTATACTATACTGGTTTTTCATTGATACTTATCAGAGTTCTGGGAATTGGTTTTTCAAATATGTCACCAGAAAGCTAACAACCTAAACAGTTAATTCTAAGAAATAACCCTAATGGGAACATGGAAGCCAAAAGGGCATTGCTTTCCATTACTAGAAATAATTTATCCGGGTACCATCAGTTTAGAAAAAAAAATAGAATATGTGATAATAGTAACACACACACAAAAAGGAATTTAAAGGAATATTCATACTTCAGGTAGAGACTGAACTACAAAATCTCTAAGGCCCCATATAAGATTCTAGGATACTCTACTAATCAATAGATTAATTACAAGTTAAAATAAGTAAAGTAGTTGCTAATTGCTTACATGCAATATGCCTGGGCTCAGAATACCAAGGTGGCATATTAATCATCAATTTTTTGATCTTTAATAAAACAGACAAACCCTCACCTTGTGTAGGTCCTTCACTCTCAGAGGTAAGTTATCAGGTATCCTGTGCATTGCCTGGCGTGGAGGTTCATTGAAATAAGAAAGTTCTCCATCTGTCATTTCTATGACCATAATTCCAAGTGACCAGATATCTACTTTTTTTATAGAATTCATAGGTCAACAGTGAGGGACAAATGGTCATTCTGAAGTACATATTTTGCCTAAGGAAATCAAGTAATTCACAAATGATTCATAAATGATTTTACTTAATAATAACCTAAGAGGGAGATTTTTGAAAGTATATATCCCTAGATAAAGGTTTCATTTAAGTTATCAGTTTATTGAAAAGAAAAAATCTAATTTTTCATGAGTGTTTCTGATTGGCCTTACAAGGAAGTAGAGCTCATCAATAATATTTTATAAAAACAATTATATATATTACCATTCTAAAGTCTGTTGCTTTCATTAGAACCTTTTTTACACCCTGCAGCTACCTGATTGGTCCAGGCAGTTAAGTCTTCAAAAAATAAAAAGAGAATTGTCAAAATGACAACATACTTAAAACTCTCTACTTAAAAAAAAAACTATTTAAAATATTTTATGTAAATATGAAATAATAGGATACTTATACTTCCATTAATGCTGAAAGTAAATTTAAAATAGTGTCACATTTAAAAGAAGACATTTCTGACATTTAATCATTTGTTTAGACATCAGGTTTAGATGGATAATGGTCAAAGGATATAAAAAGATAATTTTCAAAAGGGGACATATAAAAGTGTGAATTATTTCTTGGGAAATCTTAGTCTTACCATCAAAGAGACATACATTAAAAACAACTTTGAGGTATCACCTCATAATCACAAATCTAGCAAAAATAATTAAGAGCAACAAAACTCAATGCCAGGAGGGTTGTGGAGTACTAGGTGCACTCAATCATTATGGATGGAATTACAAAGTTGCAGAATCATTCTGGAGAGCAATACAGCAGTACACATTACCCATTTAAAAAGTAGGCATAGCCTTTGAACTCCTAATTCCATTGTTGGGAATAGAACCTGAAAATATCATCAAAAAACAAAATTAAGAAGACCTGTCCATTGGAGGATTTTCACATCAGCATTCTGTGTAATTATTAAGATTGAGGAACAACTAAAATGCTGAGCAACAGGGGAAATTGTAGCCCATTAATGTAATAGGAGAGGCAACATGGCATGTTATACTGGATAGAGAACTTCCTTCAGAGTAAGGAAATCCTGGGATCATCTCTTACATGCTAGCTTTGTGACTCTGGGCAATTCACTTAATGTCCCAGTACCTCAGAGAACTGTCCAAAAGTACACAGCACTAACAGATCTATATTAGGAGGGAGGGTTTCTTCTTTGGAAGTCTCCTATACCAATCAAACCAAAGGAATACACCATTCCCCCCGCTGCTCCCTGCCAAGTTATAAAGAAAATCTGCTTGGTCATATTGTTAAAAATTAAGTGTTCAAGACCACTCATTAATAATAAAAAAAGGAAGTTAAAAAAAAAAACAACAGAAGTCCAGCTGTTTTGGCAAAACTTTCTCTTTTGGGTTCTATGTTGTCTTTTTTATAAAGCAGATGGCTTTATAAACCCAGTGTCAGGGTACAGGGAGAAGAATAGGCAGATGACCCCCAATGATTTCTGGTTAAAGAACAGGAATTCTGAACAATGGGAATGAAATAACCACACGATCAGTTTCCAGTTACTGCCACATCTTATCTGCTGGATATATTCCTATCATCATAACCCATACAATGACCTGCATTTACTGTTTATCACTCAGGGCCAAGATTAAAAAAAAAACAAACAAACCGGAACTGAATAAAAATCACCCAAGGTTACATACACAAGCTAGGATGTGCACACACATTCTCGGGTTTCATTCCGTCAGTTTGCCCAGCTCGGTGATTCTTGCCACCACATCTACATTCAGTCTATCGCTGCACAATGAGGCTGATTGCCCCCTACTCCCCAACACACACAACGGTCGATAATTCATTCGGAGTAGACTCCTTGGGAAATTGGACTTCTCTTCAAACAAACCTTAATAACTGTGATAGAACATTTTTATCCTTTGAGAGTAGACTCGAGTTTTAAAAGAGAGCTGAACAAATGCGGTGGCGGGTGTTGGAGGCCCGGTGGCGCGTGGGAGCCCCGTGGCCGCCGGCGGCCACCATACTGGCCGACCCAACGCCGCTTCCGCCTCCGCTTCCACTTCCGCCTCCTCCGCAGAGAGAGCCGCGTGCCATGAAGCCAAGATTCAGCCCGCAAAGGGGGGGTCGGGGTGGGTTCGGAGGGCGTGGAAGAGGTGGCGACCGAGGGGGCCGAGGAGGTGGACGAGGAGGGTTCCAGTCACCTGGTGGTCTGGGCAGAGGCCCCCAGCCCCGAGGACGAGGCCGGGGTGGTAGAGGAGGTTTCCAAGGAGGAAGGAAGGTCACTGTAGAGCCTCATCGACATGAGAGAGTTTTTATTTGTAGAGGAAAGGAAGATGCGCTGGTCACAAAAAGCATGGTGTCCGGAGAGTCAGTCCAGGGTGAGAGGAGAATCACTGGGGAGCGCGGTGAGGCGAGGTTGGAACCTTTCGGATCACAGCTGGCCGCGGCCGCCCTGGGCGGAGGAGAGCAGATCCACATCCGACCCGGGGCCAAAGGCTCCGCTTGGGAGAGGTGTCAGGCACCGCCGCCTCGCGTGCCTCGGACACGGTGGGCCCTGAAGGCCTGGCCCGTGCTGGCGAGTTTTCTCATTAGTGTGGCCCAGAAGAGGGCGAACGGCATTCCCGTCGTGGATGCCCGACAGCCCCACAAACACCGCATGCTCATTGGGATGGTGGATGTGATTTTTGCGGATGTGGCCCAGCCAGACGGGTCCCCAAGTCTTGGCGCTCAATGCACACAACTGCCCGCGCAATGGTGGACACTTTGTGATCTCCATTAAGGCCAGCGGCATAGACTCCACAGCCTCCCTGAAGCAGTGTTTGCTTCGAAAGTCAAGAAAAGGCAGCAGGAAAACACGAAGCCGCACGAACAGCTCACCTTGGAGCCCGATGAGCGAGACCATGCAGTGGTGGTGGGCGTGTACAGGCCGCCCCCCAAGCAGAAGGAAGTGGCTGCCAAGGAGTGTGGCCTCTGCTGGCCCCGCCCCAGCCCCCTCCTTTTCTACTCTAGCCGTTTTGTGTCAGATCTTTGTATTTTCTATTAAAAGTTGTGACACCCCCCCCAAAAAATAAAATAGCTAAACATGATTCAGATTTAATTATGACACTGGGATCACACATTTAAACATGTTAGGGATTTTAGAGGCTGATGCTCGTACCTCCTTCCCCTCCATTTTGAAGATGAGGAAATTGAAGTAAGGAGGAGTTAAAAGTGAAATCAATTACCCGGGTCATAAAGCAGATAAGTAAATGTTTGAGGAAGGATTTTAATTCAGTTTCCCTTGATACAATTCTAGTTTTCTGTCAATTATGCTATGTTGTCTTTCTAAATAAAATAAGTGATATGACTGGGCAGTAATGCCATTTTTTAATTATTTAGAAGGAAAAAAAAAAAGAGATGTGATTGTAATGAAACCAGTGAGAATGTTTTCTTTTGTGACTCTGAAGACACCATCATACATGTATGTGTCTATAGATAGATATAGATAAAGTTATATTGATATACACATATATTTATATATATAATGCACACAAACATATACATGTAAGTATACATACATTTTTATATATGCGTTGTGCATACCTATGTGTGTATATGTATAAATTTATGGAGCTCTTATGATCTTCTTGGCCTTACTACATGTACAAATGCTTTCATATATTTCATGGTTGCAGAAAGGATGGATTTTTTTTCCTTACCTACATTTTCCATAAGGTAGTCTAGATATGACCTCTGGTGCCATCCAGTAGGGAGTGCTAATCAGTGATGTCCTCTTTGGGACTTCTTTGGAAACTTGGGCACAGAAACCAAAGTCAGATAACTTTAGCTGGAAAAAGAATAGATGCAACAACATGACCCCAAAGACCATGTTTTCTGCCATTCCATATTGATATCAATGGAGCAAGATACAAAATTAAAAATTAAATGACTTGTCACTTTCTGTACTTTCGCAGATAATATTGTCATCTGGCCTGTAATGCCTAGCACAGTGCTAAGTGTTCAATATATAATCTGATTTTCTTTTAAAATGGTGTCTTCAAGGCATATACATATATATATATGTATATATGCTGATTTTCTTTTAAAATGATGTCAACTATACAATTATGTACATAATGGGAAAATAAAAAGATTATTGGATGCTCTAAATACAATTAGGTACTCATCATCTAATAATATCTTTACATATAAGTCAGTTAATAAGTATTTATTAAGTTCCTACTGTGTGCCTGGCCCTGTGCTAAGGGCTGGGAATACAAAGAAAGGCCAAAGATAGTCCTTGCTCTCAATGCCCCCCAGTTACAAGTGAAAACAATTTTAACATTTGTTTTTAAAACTTTGAGTTCCAAATCTCCCTTCTTTCCTCCCCACCCTACCCACTTTGAGAAGGCAGGCAGTTTGATACAGGTTACATATGTGTAGTCATGCAAAACTTACCCATAATAGTCACATTGTGAAAAAAAAAAAACTGACCAAAAAAACCTCAAAAAAAGAGACAGGTTGTTTTTTTTTTTTTAAAGTATGCTTCAGTTTGCATTCAGACACTATCAGTTCTTTCTCTGGGGATGGATAGCATTTTGCATCCTAAATCTTTCAGAGTTGTCTTGGACATTTGTATTTTAAGAAGAGTTATCACAACTGATCATCTTATAATATTAACATTGTTTTGTACACAGTATATTTCACTTTGCATCAGCCCATGCAAGTCTTTCCAAGTTTTTTCTGAGAGTATCCTGCTTAGCATTTCTTATAGTACAATAGTATTCCATCATCACATAATACAACTTGTTCAACCATTCCCCAATTGATGGGTATGCCCTCAATTTCTAATTCTTTACCTCCAAAAAAGAGCTGCTATATATTTTTTTGTACCTATAGTCCTTTTTCTTATATCTTTTGGGATACAGACCTAGTAGTACTATTACTTTGTCAAACGTTATGCATAGTTTTATAGCCCTTTAGGCATAGTTCCAAATTGCTCTACAGAATGGTTGAATCAGTTCACAACTCTATCAACAATGCATTAATGTCTCATTTTTCCCACATTCTCTCCAAAATTTGTCGTTTACCTTTCCTGTCCTATTAGCCAATCTAATAGGTAGGAGGTAGTTCCTCAGAATTGTTTTAATTTGCACGGTGAGTTAGAATATTTTTTCATATGGCTATAGATAGCTTTGATTACTTCATCTGAAAACTGGTTATATCTTTTCATCATTTATCAATTGGGGAATGGCTCTTTTTTTTTTTTAATAAATTTGACTCAGTTCTCTATATGTCTGATAAATGAGGACTTTATCAGAGAAACTTCTTTTGAATTATTTTTTTCCAGAGTTACTATTGCTAACTCTATTTCCCTCTGTCCTATTCCTCCCATCTACGTTTATTCTATTCTCTCTCTCCTTTCATCCTGTCCTTCCTCAAAAGTGTTTTGCTTCTAACTACCTCACCCAAACTACCTTCACTTCTATCACCCCCCTTTCTCTTATCCCCTTCCCCTCCTACTTACCTGTAGGGTAAGATAGATTTCTATACACAATTGCATGTGCATATTATTCCCTTTTTGAGCCAATTCTGATGAGAGTAAGGTTCACTCACTCTCCCTCACCTCCCCCCCTTTCCCCTGCACTTTAAAAGCTTTTTCTTGACTCAATTACATGAGACAATTTACCCCATTCTACCTCTTCCTTCCTATTTCTCCCAGTATATTCCTCTCATCCCTAAATTTTATTTTTTATGTATCATTCATATTCAACTCACACCTGTGCCCTCTGTCAATATACTCCTTCTAACTACACTAATGATAAGAAAGATCTTATGAGTTACAAATATCATCTTCCCATGTAGGAAGGTAAACAGTTTAATTTTATTAAGTCCTTTATTATTTCCCTTTCTTGTTTACATTTTTTATGCTTCTCTAGAGTCTTGTATTTGAAAGTCAAATTTCCTATTCAGCTCTGGTCTTTTCATCAAGAATGATTGAAAGTGCTCTATCTCATAGTAGGCACTTCTTTAAATGCTTTCAGATTAACTTATTCCTTGATCGCTTGTTAGATAAATACCTTCTTCCTTCTCTGACCTTGCATAGCATTTTGTTTTACACATCTCTTTGCACTTCTATTAAGTTTCCTGGTACAGTTATCTGTATCTGTGAGTTTTCCCCCCCCACTTCATAGACTGTAAGATCTAAGAAGACAAAAGCTGTGTTTTAGCTCAATATTTTAATTTCTACCAGTGCTTATTACAGTGATCAGCAAGCACACTGTAACTCCTAAGAAGTGTTGATTGGTTAAAATTTAATTTTAAGGAATATACTTGCAGAATGGAAAGAAGGGAAGCAGATCCATAAGGGAAAAATTAATCCCTATCATTTCTCTTTCCTGATTGTAAACTTGAGGATTGATGAAATATCTGAACAAAGGGGATGCCAAAAATTCGCTGTTATCAGGAGTGATTTATTGTCTATTTAATGTAGATTTCCCTTTCTAGGCTTCAAGATGTCTGGAAACCTAATAATGTTCTCCATGACAAATAGAAGGGAGATGAGTAGAATCATTACAAATTTTGAAAGCCCAGATCATTTTTCTATCTTAGGAGGGTTAGAGTTTTTCAATACATATTGCTCATCTGAGTACATAAAAGAGACAATTTTCTAAAAAAAGATAATTACACACAACATATCCCTGAATAAATCTGCAATGCAGACAACAAGTAGCCAAGTAATGAGTATAATGAAGCATTGTATGTAGGTCTTAAAAACAAGTTGTATTGCCTCTGAGATGTTTCTTTTTCTAATCTTCACAGAACTGTACAACTTTTCCATTTAGTAAAGCACCCTTTACTCAAGAATCCCAATTAGCATGGCAGCTAGGTGGCGCAATGGCTAAAGCTCCCGTCTTGGAGTCAGGAGGACCTGAGTTTAAATCTGGTCTCAGACAGTTGATACTTACTAGCTGTGTGGTCTTGGGCAAGGCACTTAACCCCATTGCCAACCCCTGGCTCCCCCCCCCCCAAAGAATTCCGATTAGCTTAAGAAAACTTGGGCTAAAGGGAATGCCTGCTAAAATGAAAAGGGGCAGCTTGTTAGGCAAAGACCATCTTGAGAACCAGCCATTTAGGAATTGCCTTTCCTTGTGTTTATAGATTTAAGTAGTGAAGTGGAAAGAGAAGTGGGCTTAGAATCAGGAAGATGAATCTTCCTGAGTGCAAATCAGGCCTCAGAAACTTATACTAGCTGTGTCACCCTGGGCAAGTCACTTAACCCTGTTTGCTTCAGTTCCCCATCTGTAAAATGAGCTGAATAAAGAAATGGCAAACCATTCCAGTTTCTTGGCCAAGAAAAGCGCAAAAGTGATCATGAAGAGTCAGAGAGGAATGAAATGACTGAGCACCACCAACAACAATGAACTAACTACATTAAATTTCTACTTGAACTTAGTTCCAAAGTGAGAGTATGCTGTGTTCAAGTAGGAACTGAGAAGCCATAAAAACAAGTTTAGGTGAGTAGAAATGTGGGGGAAGAGGTGAAGATAGAGGGAAGAAGCTACAATCACATGAAAAAATCTAGAACACGTCATTAAAGAGAATTTTAAAAATCAACACTGAACATCTTGTTTTGGAAATTCCTACACAAGATCATGGATCCAGAGGAGGAAGAGATCTTAGAGGTCACCTAATTCAAATATCTCACTTTATAGATGAGGAAACCGAGGGCCAAAGACGTTTCTACTTGATCATGAGGTAGCTAGATGGTCCCAAAGCATAGAGAGCTAGACTTGCCTGCCTCATATACTTGCTGGCTATGTCACTTGCTGAGCAAGTCATTTAATAAACACCTTTTAGCTTCAGTTCCCTCATTGGTCAAGTCAACAATCATTGATTAAGCATGTGTCAAGCACTGGGATAAGCTCTGGAGACACAAAGAAAGGCAAAACATAGTTCCTGTTCTCAAGGAGCTCATAGTCTAATTGGGGAGAGGACTTGCAAACAATTATGTCCAAATAAGATCTGTAGAGGCTTCACTTGGGGGAAGTCTTGGAAGAAGGGCACTCAGAAAGTGTAACGAGGATTAAGAAAGGTTTCTTGTACAAGTTAGGACTTGAGTTGAGACTTGAAGGGAGTCAAGGATGCCAGGAGGTGCAGATAAGAAATGGGAGCATTCCAGGCTTAGAGGACAGCCAGTGAAAATAGTCAGAGTCAGGAAGAGATGGAGTGTTTTATGTGAGGAACAGAAAAGAGGCCTGAGTATATAGGGGGGGATTGCAGAGTATGTAGGGGGGGGAGTAAGGTTCAAGAATGCTGAAAAACATGTAACAGAATTGCATCTACCTCATAGGGTTGTTGGAGGGCATCTTATGAGTTAGTGAAAAGTGCTTATGAATTATGAAAAGTGCTTTGCAAACAAAATGCTATATAAACTCTATTAGTATGGTTATTGTTTTTGTCCTTAATGTCGCCCAGGTAGTGAATGGCTAAGAACTGATTGAACTGAGTACTTCAGACTCCACACCTAGCATTTTTTTTCTACTGATTAAATCTGAGCTTCTTGAGAACAGAGACTATTAAATTTTTGTCTTTATCTCCTACACGCAGCACTGTGCTTGACACATAGTAGGTGCTCAATAGATGCTTGTTGATTAATCGTACCATGATGGCTTCTTCCCCAATAAGTGACTGTTGTGTTTGTTCTGGATTTCTCAGAGCAGAGCCATAAATAAGTAAGGTGTTAGAGAAGAAAAAAAGAAGTTTCAGTGAAAAGGTATAATAAAATTTAGAGCTAGAAGGCACCTTAGAGATCATCTAAGACAAGTCTATTATCTTATGGATGAG